AATAAAAGAAATTAAAGTTATGACTTGGTGGAAGGATTTCTGGGACTGGGCTCCAACATACAAATCCATCCCTGGGTTCGTCTCATGTCACATTTGTCTGTGCTGTTAATCCTGGTTACCCCAATATACCTCATCATCGTCACTGTCTAAGTTGCCCGGTGGAAAAGAAAACTGTTGCAAAAACTACACATAGAGACCTCACTCAATTCATGGTCTCTGTGAGCCTATTAAAAAAGCACCCTATCGCAATACTATTTTTGTGTTCTTACATTGAAATTACCTAAGTCTATAGGCTAATTGTTACTAAGCAATTGATCACATCAAGTCTGTAAATTAATTACATCAAATTTGTAATTCAATTAGCCAGGCGTTTTAATTGCATCAAATCGCTATACATTACATATCGAATAGTCATCCTAAAGCATATGGTTTTGTGAGATAATGTATTATAGGCTTTTTTTTTTAACCTTTGTATCATAAAGGTCCTTTTTACTGATCCATTCTCAAGTGCTCCATATTTACTACTTGTTCATTCTTGTTCATTCATAATCTTTCAGTTTATTTACTTCTAGTTTACCACTCTTGCTTGATTAGTTAAATTTGAATTCTGATGTTCTAGTTATGTAAAGTCTGATGATGTTGCTTTATCTCAGTTAAGTGTTATTTCCTAACATGCTATCTGTAAGTGTTTATTTGTTTGAGTGTATGTTGTACTTAGCTTGAGCTCGAATGATCCAATCGTCACCTCGCAGAAATTGGTCTGTGATCATGTAATCCATGACGCTTTGCTTTCAGGATCAAGGAGGAGGGAGTATAGCCGGATGAGCCACTCAAAATGGCAGAATCGGATAATACACCAGGCATTCTGGGAAAACAAGCTAAGCACTGGCCAAAGTATCTGTGCAAAGATTCTGAAATAAACAAGCTGCAGACCCAGATAGGCAGGCTGCAGCTGCAAACAGCACAGTACACCACTGACTAAGCCTATTCACCAGGACAATAGGAAACATCGAGCTGAACAAAGGGACACCTCACACCCCTATCTGGGACTTATGTGCCCCTGACACTTTCAGAATGGAGGACCAAAGATCATCCCACCATCCGCATGGCACTACCTGAATTGTCTGATCAATCAGGGTAATCGATTCCTGATCGATCCATTGGTGGAAATCAAAGATCCTCCCAAAGGGGTGCAGAAACGTCCGAGGATTAGAATCACTGCAACAGCACGCTCAGGAGCGGCAACTCGAGACCAACCACTCTAAGAAGAGGCACCCCTGGGATCACCAGGAGAGGAAGACCGAACGACCATCACCACGTGGATCAAGGCCAAGGTCTAGTGAGGTGATGTTTGATCATTCCAAGTTAAGTTAAAGTACAAGATACTGACTTAGATTTACAATATTAATTGTCAGATTTATTGTATTAATTGTCAGATTGTAGCATAATCGTTATTATAGTATTAATTGTGTTGTAACTGATAAAGATCATTTCATATTGCTATTAAGAGTCAAGTCACAGTTCTTCGCAGGATATACGGGCTAAATACACTGTGTGGCGAGCGCAACAGAATTGTGCCATGTAACAGCCTTAGTTTAATATCTCATCTCCAAAACAGAACTCTGATTTAGTTCTCAAGTGTCTGGAGAGAGACCTGAACCCATTATCTTCTGACTGAGAGGGAAAAGCTGTAGCCATGAGCTATGGTTACTACATTTTAAATTGTACTGATCCCCAACTACCTTTTCATTCGATAAAATTAAAACCAATGAATAATTGTCCTCAATGTTTCAAGAACCTTTCTGGTTTTTATGAAAATTTGAAAGTAAATACTCTCCTTTAGGAAGAGCTGTCAGACTAGATAGAAGTGGCCTGCCAGCTCCCAAAGCTGAGTGGCATCAGGGAAGTACAACAATGAGAAAAAGGTGGAAATATAAAGGAACAATGTTGTCTTTACTCCTAAAACTGGAGAATTCCTTTTTCTCTGAAAGTTGGATAATATGGGGATATTTGATTCTTAACTTAAGACGATATTGTCCTTAAACCTGAAAAGACTCAACTGTGTTTGAATCCATGGTCCAATGATTACCAACCATACAACTATTTGTATTTATACAATGCCTTTATTGTAGTAAAACATCCTAAGGGAGATTTACAAAAGCTTTATCAAATAAAATTTGGCACTGAGCATAAAGAGATATTAAAACAGACAATCAACAGCTTGGTCAAAGAAATCAGTAAATTTTATAGAAAAATATGTTTGAGAGGTGGAGTGGTTTAGGTTGGGGATTTCAAACCTTGGGGCCTTAGCAGATTGCCAATGGTGTTGAGATTAAAACCGGGGATGCTTGATAGGCCAAAATTACATGTTCGGGCAGCAGGAGATTACAAAGCTAGGGTGAAGCTGTGGAGGTATTTGAGAATGGAGATAACAATTGTGTTGTTAAGTGGGAGCCAATGTATGTCAACCAGGACAGCATGAATGGAACTCGGTATGAGTTAAGACACAGACATAAGTTTGCATGATGTTAAGTTTGCAGAGGGAGGAAAATGTAAGCTGTCAACAATGGTTGGTCCAGAGGTAACAGATGTATAAATGAGGCCTTCAGCAGCAGATAAGCTGAGTTGTGATGGAATTAGACAACGTTATGGAAGTGGGAATGGATCAGATTCCGAAGATAATCCTGGAATCTAATATGACACCAATTTTGCCAGCATTCTGATTCAGTTTTAGACAGTTAGGGAGACAAATGAATTTGGTGGTGGGAGAACAAAATTTGTGGTGGGATAAAAATATTAGGAACTTCAGAGTTCCTAATGTTTAGTTGGAGCAGATTATTTTCTTTCCACACTGTATTTTGTTCAAACAATGTGTCAATTTAGAGACAGCAGAGACAGGTCAAGAGAGCTGGTAATGTGGTAGAGCTTGCTGTCATCAAAATATGTAAGGAAACTCATATTTTATGCCCAATTACAGATCTAAATGGGTGGGTTTTAAATGTTCAAATCTTGTGTTTTTTGAGCAATACAAATGAAAGGCATTACTTAGATGAAAAACAGTAGGAGGAAAGGACAAATTCTTGGAGAACACCAGCGGTAACATTCTGTAGGTGAAAAAGGTTACAACTGCACATAGATCTTAGAACAGTATAGCACAGGAACAGGCCCTTTGACCTACCAGGTCTGTGCCAATCATGACGCCATTCTAAACTAATCCCATCTGCCTGCATGTGGCCCATTTCCCTCTACTCCCTGCTTGTTCATGTGTCTGTCTAAATGCCACTTAAACTTTGCAAACATACTTGCTTAAACTTTGTTAAAATATCCGCACATGATTCAGGTGATTGGAAAACATTTTAAAATTGAAAATGGTGGGCCATGACAGAGTAGATCACAATCCAACCTTTTATGAAGTGTGTTTGAGCTGAAGACTCTTCATAAGACAGATCCACATTTTCAGTCATTTTGAAATAAAATAGAGAAACCTCATGAAACCCAGAGTACCTGTACACTATCAATTTCAAGCGACAGGAACAGCAATAAAACTAAAAATGCTTAAACTAAAAGTTGCCATTCCTTTAACAGGAAAAGCAATGAACAAATATTGTCGTGAGTATCTGTGCAAAGACAAGAGTTAATTCAAATACTTCTTTTCATTCGGATTTTTTGTTTTTAAGAAGGACACTACGCAGTAAATATCTTGAGCCAAATTTAGCTGTGAAACATATATGTCATTCACTTTATTATACTTGAACCGTTTTGGTGATTGCATGTAATAGGAGCACCTAGAAAAGGTAGTGGCTATTATTTGTATGTGTAAGTTCTGTATTATCGCCCTCTATAATTTTTTAATAGCATATCTTACACACAATCAATCATAAATGAGGCTAAATGAAAAATACTGTCATCTGTAGGCACTTTACATAAGGGTTTTCTACTGGTGCTAACTGTTCAATAATAAAAAGAACCTAGTTTACAGAGAAATTAATGTATGTTTATATATACTAAATACTACAAAAAAAGAGTGATCTTCGGTGGGGTGGTTGTGGAAAGATGTCATAGTTAATGCAGTCTTACATGCACTCTGAAGAAACCAAGCTTCATGGAGCAATTTTTTAAGTATCATTTTAATTCCCCTAAGCTGAGATGCTAGATTTCTAATGGTTGTACTGATAAGGGATAAACATAGATCCTAGAATAGAAATATCATTCGTGTAGTTGCCCACATCATTTAGAATTGAATTTCTTCTATCCATTATTCACTTTTATATCATGTGAAACTTAAAATAAATTTTATAAATTGCTTTGAAGACTTGATATTAAAATATGAAACCATGAAACTACTAGTATGTTTAGAATAGTCTGTATATGCAACACCGATGTATAAGCTACACTTAATTATTTAATGTAACACTGATATATCCTTAATAAATAATAAGCAAAGAATAAATAGAAATTTACCATTAAAATCATTGGCTAACATACAAAACGTCCTGCTACTTAACCTTTTCCAACATTTGTGCAAAATTTTGGTTTTTGCTAAGACAAAAGCAAAACAATGAAATAGGTTGACTGATTTTCATGTATTTTCTATGCAGTTTTGCTAACAAAAAACCCCGAAAGATGGCAATGCAAAATGGGTTAAAAAATGTAATTAGTACAGATTTATGGTAAAACGTATTACAAGATGACCCTTAATAAATTAAAATAAATTATTTTAAACCTAACAGACTGTCACTTGTACAAAACAAGAACCATTTCCGCATACAACACAAAAATGGTTAAGTATGATATGTGTTTTAATGAGAAGGAGAAAAGGTTTAGAGGGAAGGTGAAAAATAAATCATTCTGCAATCCCATGGAGCCCAATTCCAAGAGATATGTCTAATTGGAGGATAGGCAACACGAATGGTATTAAAAGTTTGCATCCAACATTACAAATAAAAAGGGATGAAGCAAAGGATATTCTTTGCAGGAGAGGGGATAAAAAGCAAACATACCATTGGTTGGGTGTCGAGCAAATGAGATAGAAAATCTTTTTACAGCAGAACTGCGTGTGGCGTCTGAGAAAGAGAAAAACAGGTACCTGAAATTTATAACAGCTAGCAGAACAGGGTTTTGTTTTAAGAAAGAGTTAAAGTTAGGCTGCATGCAGGATTGTTTAGAGGGAAAAAGAATAATTCAGTGGGAGTAAGTGCCACTGTTAAAGACCCCTTGGCTAGTACTGACTGTTACGTGCATATTATAATTAAATATTGTGCACAAAGTAATGAATTGCAAGGCCAACAGATTCAAGCAGTTAGTGGTACATAGAGAGCACTTCACCATTTCTTTTTCCTCCCCCCCAGTTCTTATACACCCTCTCCAAATCACCATTATGCCTCAACGTAAACCTTCGACAGAAACTTGGAATTACTGACCAATCTAATAAATTTGTTTTACATTCTAACCTAATCTAACCTAATCAAATTCTTGACCACTAGTTTTAAGTTTTACAAATTATTGCTGGAAGGTGATTGTTTAGTTAACATATTCCAATAACAAGTACTGTAACTCAAGAGGGATGCCATGTATTAAATTTTATAACTGGTTGACAGTTATTTGTGCAAATGCCAAAAAAGGTGACCATTTAAAGGTTATAAACTGATAACCTTTTACAGCTAAGGTGCATACATGTACCTGATGTAAATAAACACTTCAGTGTAAAAACTGCATCTGAAGCATAGATTGGCAGTCCAAATAAGGCACAGACTGGTTTTTCAGCTTTTCAAAGGAAGACATAGGATTTGGCTGTTCTCATCACAGAATTTCTATTTCTGACAAAGTGACGACAGATTTGTCTGTGGTGTTGTGTGCACATACCATCGAAGTAGCCAGATGATGTCAGCTTTTTACGATGCGCACGAGCATAATCCTGTAGGTTAGGTGCACTCGAGGAACCCCCAAGCACAGTAGTGCTAAACAGGCCTGCACAATGAGACCCTAATGGGAGTTAGAGAAAACACATACAAACCGGGTGCTCTTTGTTCCTGAAGAGGGATACATGCAACATGCCATAAAATTATGACAAAATCAATATCTACTGTTATTAGTAGGGAAAATACATCAATTATTAGACGATACTTTATGCAGACACGTCGGTTTATAAAGCCAAGACCTTTAGATACTGACGAGTTAAATGATCTCACCACTTAAAAAAGCTCTAATAATTTTTTTTTAGGTAATTCATGCAAAACATTCCTTCCTTTCTCACCCTCCATATCACCATTTAAAAGTATGTAGAAATTGTATCATATTCACCAAAGTCAATTTAACAAATGATTGAACAATTACTCTTTAAAAATTTAACATTCCTGCAAAAATCTCATTCACATTTTTGAGGGAGTGAATGCATTGAATACTTCACATTTGCCTTCACAAATTTCTCAAAAACCTAAAAATAATCATCTCAATGCATGAAATAAGAAATTCAAATCTTTCATATCTACATTACAACAAATAACATGCCTATTCCTTAGTTTACTGCCACATACATGCTAATTGTCAAAATACTGATCTAACCTATAATTTTAAAATATTCTTTTGTTACTATGTATGGCCATTTACAAATTAAGTATAAATTATCAACTCTTCTACAAATATATTTTCAAATGTAGAAATGTTTGATGTCTTTATCTCTGAATTTGTACGAGAGAGAGAAAAATAAAGCAAGATCTTATAGCAAATATCAATTTAGTAAGAAGCCAAAGCTTGCTGCAAACCCATGCTTTATACCATTGACTTCAACATTCATCAAACAGTACAGAATACTCACGTGATAGTTGAGTCTTTCAAATGAGAGTTTTTAAATTCAGCATGTTGTTTAATATATCGAAACTTCAGAAACATTTCAATTCTGTATTCACAATTTTCATGTGACTTTTTTGAATCCCAAAGTAAACAACAAAATCCATTAAAAGCCATCACGAGACAATAAATAAAATATCAAATACTTTTCCTTTCATACCTATAATTCCTTATAATACCTGCAGAACATAATTCAAAATACTAATAATTTCCTTTTAATAGAAGAATAGGAGCAGAGTTGTGTGAAATTATTAGTTGATTGTACAGTTTCAACACTCACCAAGTCCAGTGTATTTCTGCTCTGTATGGGGTCTTCCAACTCGTAAACCAGGAGTGTTGTCAGTGAGAATCTGCATGGCAATAGTGAAAAACATTTTGAATATTTGAATAAACAGCAAGAACTAAAAGCAGCTTTTATACTAAGGCCTGCTTCAGACAGTCAGTGTTAATAAGCTGCATGATTAATGTTAGTGGAAACATATAGATGGAGACAATGACAGATCATGCAAAATCCTTTAGCCTGAAATGGGTCCATTCCACCTACAATGTCCTTGCAATGGGATGAACATAACAAACATTGGATTAACACAGTGGTAAAATAAATATGTGGGGAAAATATCAAATTATAAGAGCATACAGATACCACTCTATTACTTCATCAGTTAACTATCCTTCACCTGCCTCAATACAGGCAAATACACATAAGTGTATTTGACAGAATACAACTTTACTCCATGCAGGGGGTACAACAGTGCTTTTTAGACACTTTACATTCCTGATTAGTGTCTTACGTTGCAGTACCTCTTTTCATTTTTTTTATTTTTAGGGACCCTACATGTGAACAGTCTTCATTCTTCAAAGAGCTGCACCATTTACTTTCTCTACCATTGAAAGGTTTTCACTAAGTGCCTCCAATGTGGCTTGGTTCAGCTGAAAAAAATGTTTGCGATCCAACATATGATTAGCATATTATGATCTTAACAATATAAAACTATTAATTAGACAATGGGATCAGAATTTGCTTTAATGTAAGCTTTTTTTTAAAAATGTGGATAAGTATGTGGTTACTAGAAAACATCTGTACGTGATGACAAAATGTTTGTTCTTAAATTTGAATATGGATTGAAACGATTATTGATTATAAAGTTAAAATTTCTGATAATGTAATGGGATGCATCAATCACAATCGCTTTTGAACAAGCTGAAACCAGTTACTTTTACTTTTTATAGGGAACAGTTTAGGTTGCATTGTCTTGTTAACAAGCAGTTCTGTGTCTCAGAAAAAATGAAATTCACGTTATCTTTTATTCCCTGTGTGATGTTGGATTAAAGGGACCAAAAAGTATGCTAATATGGCATTAAATCAGGCAAGTTCCTGCTCCTGAATATTTTTTTAGGAACCTCATTGGTTTGCATGCGGATCTCAGGATTAATGTTCTGTTGTGTGTACTCTGAAATTAGCTGCCAACATTCCCTATCCCAGTTCAGATATATGAGACATAAACATTTAGTTAAGGTACAAGAGTTCTACTTAAAAGCATGGAACGATTCCAATTAAAATTAACATCCTCAAGAGAGGAAAGGTAGCTGCCAAGTGACCTGATCCAATTTTCTAAAATACATCGGAATCGATGATTTGATGTAAGTAGTTTGTTTGATTTGGATCATAAATACAGAAAATAGCATGGCTACAAACCTAAAAATGGATTTGAGTTTATAAAGAGTTATTTCCCTCCCACATGTGTATAGTGGTTCAGTGTAAGATTTTCATCTAAATGTTCTGTTGTGTAAATGATACCTGTAAAAGAGCTAATTGTATAGAGGGTTCAAAACAAGCTCAAACTAATATTGTTAAGAACAAGTAGATGATTGAGTGCTGTATGGAACAGAATAGTCCTTGAACTTCTGGGATCTTGACATTATGATGCCAAAAGGCAATCGTTCAAGGATGCATAATGTAGGGTGTAAAGTGAAACCGGTAAACTGAATTTTGCTTGATTTACCTTTGATTTATACATTAAGAAACATCCTCAATAACCTTTTATCAAAAGATTAAATAATTTGAATAAAGTTAGAGTAAGATTAGATGGAACAGGCTTGGCAGTCCCATTGGTCTTTCGCCATTCACATTCTTTATGTTAAGTCAATCAAAACAAAATAAAACAAAAATTTCCCACTTCCTGATTTGTAATAGTCCATTGTCTACATGTTTTTGAGTGACAATAAGTTAGTTTCAAAAGAACAGGACGTTTTGAAGACTGAAATCTACAGTCAACAGCCAAGGAGTACTATGCTGCAACTGCTTGCCGATCAAGTCAGTCAATTTCCACAACATTGTTATTTAAACCAGACTATGTACTGAACTGCATCTAATTTGGACATGCAGAAGGGTTCTGATAGGGGAGTAATTTTAACCTAACTCATCAGGTAAGACACCCATGGGTTTACTTGGTTTGCCAGATGTATACACAGCCAAATATTACTCTTCATTCACTTCGGGGAATAAAATTGGTGGGATTAAAACCCATGCAGCAATTGATTCTTACAGTTTTCCTGATCAATGGGTATGTTTAAATTGGTTGCAATATTTTCAAATAAATAATGAAATTGGTACTGCAACATTTAAGTTAATTAAGAAAAGACCTGCCACAGTCTGTACAGAATAGAATAAAGAAATGCAAGAGCAGCATCCATTCTTGCATAGACAAGCATAAAAACAGCAAACGATAATTTAACCTGCAGGTTTTACATTTACATCTGTCCTAGATCAATTAAGGTAATACTGTCTGAATAAATAGGATAACTATTCATACTAACTATTTCAACTTAGTTTGTCAATTCAAAATTTTGGGTTAATTATTTTATAATTAGAGGTCAATGTTAAAATTAATAACAGGGGCTTTTAAGACAGACTTGAGGAATTACTGTGAATGTTTGACCAGTGAAAATGGCAATTTTCATAAAAATGAAGGAAAATTGAAAAACCTGTTGCCATGAGCCAAAAATACTTGATGTGAAAGCCAATGATTTGGGGGAGACAGGGGAAGAAGTGATTTGTTCCCCTGATCTGCGTCTTCGACGCCCAGCACCCACACCACTAGTGTAATGCATCCAGGTACCACTACACTCTGGGCTAGACAGACTCAGGGGGCTCTCTTCCTGGAAGTGAGAAAGGGGGCAAAAACAACAGCAAAGCATGCAAAGTTAGATATATTCAAACCAAATGACTTAATAATATCATTACTAATGTACACAAGTTATTAATCATTATGCCAGAAGCATCTGACAATCCCATGGTTAAAATATCAAATCAGTCAAAATGTTTATTCTATAAAAACAGAATATTATAAAAGGTACCCTACTGATATGCATACAGCCCATACTGTGGATTTTTTATTTAAAAAAAAAAGTTATTTAGGATTAGGAAGGTCATTTGTATTTCACAGGAATAGATGGAAGGCCTTTAGTTTGCAGCACAGCCTGTGTGCATGTCAGTAAAGTACAGTATATCAAATACTTAATTCCTAAGTTAGAGATGTAAAATGTAAAGGCCTGACACATCTGCAATCCAGACGAACCTAAAAAAAGCTATAAGATCGACACAAAAGAAACACAGTGCAATTAAAACTTGCAGTACATATTTGATATAATTGCTTTCCACTTATCTGCAATTAGTTTTAAGGTTACAATCTAAATATATTCAAAAGAACAGTTTCACACTGTTCATTCTCTCTGTAATTATGCTTCAATATTTTGTACATTAGGGATTTACAATCAGTGTGTTGCAATTTATGAATAGAGAGCATAGATTGACTCAATGCTAAACAAGCTTGAAATTGAGGACTCTACGTTTCATTTTTATTTGACATCAGGCATTTCTCTAGACAAAGTAAACAGAGAAGAGACATTGAATGGGACGAAGAAAAGTAACCACACTGAGAAACAGTAGGGCCAACTGGAGGCAGAACAGTAAGAACTGGGGAAAAATAGTAGTGTGTGGAGAAGTAGCAGACCTAGCAAGAGAATTGGAACAATAAGACACACTTGTAGAATGTCTGTATGATTAAAAGTAACATTCCATCATTAATGTGCATATGTAGCCAAGAGAAGTGAATGAAGAAATTTGTTTGGTAAAAAGAACTAGAGCCTAGAATTGCATAAGTACACAACAGACCTGATGTAAAGGTCAAATGGTGCAAATTCAGCCTGGAAGTCAAAGGTTGGTACAAATGATCTAATTAATTACACATTAATCACATCTAATTAATTGCAATACTCTTTCAATCAATTATAGTACAGTCCAGCTCTAATTATCGTTAACCATTTCCTGATTAAATACAATTTACGATAAATTTTAGTAAAATTTCAATAAATGGAACCAGGACAAAAATAGATGATATTTTGTAAGCAAAAGGATAAATGAAGACGAGACAGCATAAAGATAAAAGGCACCCAGGCCAGTACTAAACCACAGAATGAAACGGAGGTGTGCATTTTCACCTTAATATCAGATGCAAAGCTAGTGGAACATTTAAACTTATAAATTTGTGTGACAAACAGATTTCATTATGATATAGAATGGGAAAAACTCAAAAGAAGTTAAAACATTTGATGTAAGAACAAATCACTCATTACATTGGAACTCTGTGTAATTGAGCAAATATGGAGCAACAACTTAGCAATTACATGCCCCTTTCAGGTTTTAATGCCTTCAATCCAAATTGCAAATTCCATACATCAGGTTTAAAATCAAATTAAATCTTCCTTGTGAAAAACCTTGATAATTACTTTACTTTAACTGGCTAAAATGTAAACTCAAAAGACTGGCATTGGAGCTACAAAGTGTGCTTACTTTGGCTGGAAAGCAGTCTGTGGAAGCAAGTAACTTTTTAACTGTACACTAATATGGCTGCAGCATTCAGTGAGAGGTAAAACAAAGAAAGCAAGGAGAGGTAAGCTAATGTAAGCAATTTTGGGTGCACACAGCAGAGTTATCATGTGTAAGACAGAGTTCTCAAAACAATTCCATCTGAGGAGGCTGTACAGTCAGCATTAGGCACCACTCAAAAATGGGAACCAGGAGGGTAATCATTACCAGTCTTTTGAAATCTATTTGAATCAATGTTTTGTTTGTCATAAGTCAAGAAATTTACATCGGAAAGTAGTGAAGAGCTTCATCACTCAAGCAATTGACTCATTTACATTTCTGGACAGAGGAGTTCATCCATCCTATACAGTAAAGCAATAACTACGTTACTGAAATATCAACCCAGAGATCCGAAGTTCAAATCTCGGCATTACAAGTTCTGATACCAAATTCAATAAATCTAATATTATGTGGAGGGCCATCAGAAAGAATGACTACATAAAGCTTCTGCAAAAAGGCAAATTATTTATTGATGCCCTAAAAAGAGAACTGTCACCTGTACTTGGTCTGTTCTACATGCAATTCTAGTCCTGCACTATGTGGTTGAATCAAAACCTTTAAAGCATCCAGAGATGGGCAATATAACAGTGACTGAATTTCCTCCTCCATCACCATGTCCTGGGTAGCATTTGGGCTCCCTTGGTGAAGTCAGATGCAAAGTAATAAGACTTTGGCCATATTCCTCCTTTCACATGCCTTCTTTGGTTCCTAATCAGATCTACTCCTCCCTTTACCATTTATATACTATAGAGGTCTTCAGGATTGTACGTTAGCTGCCAGTTTCTTTTCATAATCCCTCTTTTTCTGCCCCTCTTATTTTCTTTTTCAATTCTCTTCCGAACATGAGCGTGGTCCTCAATTGTAATTTCTACTTGACAACCAACCCAAGCTCAATTTTTCTTCTTAATTTCAAACTTAATTTTCATCCGCAGGAACTGGTTTTGATGAAATGTACCTCCACTGTGTTCACGCAATCTCTTTGAAGGTTTTTTTGTTCAACCTTAGGCTACAGTTGATCTAACCCAGATCTATTCTTGCCGTATTGAAGTCAGCTCTCCTCCAGTTAATTGTTCATTCCCCGGATGGTTTTGTTCCACCACTATGCTAAAATTTATGATACAATGATCCAGACCCCTCCCCATTCCCAAGAACTATGCCTCTTTTCTTATTGTTCTGCACAAATACTGCTACGCAAAATCTCCTGAACACAATCTAGGAACATGTGCCCCTCTCTGGCCCTTCACCCTACAACTATCACAGTCTATATTATAATGGATTACTTTAATTGTTCTAATGTTATAACTCTGACAGGAACAGCACACTGGAAATAGAATCCCATTACTCCACAAATGGTACCAAAAGAGTAAACGTCTTAATTGATCACCAAAATTGTCAACATGTTCCTTTCTAGTAATGTTTGTTTTATCTCTGTTATTAATTTCTCTGTTTGGTTGGGCCACTTTCTTCATTCTGTTCTACAGACTATTTGTGGGATTGAGCTTTTCATCTCATCTCCATCTGAATGGATTGGAGTTCTGACCTTTCCAACTGCTATTTTGTTAGCTCTCATGTACTCTTCCACTTCTTTTCTTTCTACTCTAAATTCTTTCTTCTTCTTTCACTAAATTTGTTCACAGGTTGAGAACATCACTAACATTTACTGTCCATCCCTACTGTCCTACAGGTTAGTCGCCTTCTTGAACCACTGCAGTCCATGAGATGTGGGTATACACATACACTAAGTGCTGTTTTCTGCCAGTGTTATACGTTGTAATGTTTTTCTCCCAGGCCTGAGTTTTTAGTTAATTTTAAAATCATTTGATTTTTAAAACTCTAGTTCCTTGTGCCATTTGATTCTTGTATATGTATTACTTTGCCTACTTTATTAGATACTAAATGTTGCTGCAAAGATAATCTCAATTTTTAGCAGTAATATATTTCACTTTATTTTCACACATCTTTTTATTCTCATTATGTAGGATTTTATTTATTTCATGCCCTTAGTTAGTTTAGCCTGTTCCACACATTTTTTTTATATATCTAACAGTGTAATTTCTTGTAATCCCACAGCAGATTTTACCTGAAGGGCACCAAAAGCCCATACTCAAATGGGGAAGTGACAGGAAACTGGAATTTTGGGGCTCATTGTCCTGCAGCTGACTCAATTATAGGAAACCCATGGGCTCATGCAGCAATTTTCTGGTAGGCAAATAAGTAAGATCACAAAGGTTGGAGGATGAATACCTGGGGTTTGGATTGTGATCAGAGGCAAGGTCAGGGAAGGTGACCAGACAGGTCTGGAGTATTGTTGGAAGTTGAATCCATTGTCACAGTGGGAAATGGGTGGAATAAGTTTGAAGAATGAGAATGAAATCAGAGATTCTGGGACTGATTGAGATTTTGGCATGCATACATAATACTTTTGCTTAATTCCATGCTGTTTAGCATTAGTTTTCCTCAAGGCAATCAGTTGTAGTTGCAGCAGGAGCAAACCGAAATTAAAAGAACAAGCGAAGCAGGTCTTAAGCGTCGGTGAGACCGAGCGGAGGCTCAGAGACCGTTTTGTAGAGCACCTGCGCTATGTTCTCAACAAAGGACAGCACCTTCCACTCGCGAACCACTTCAACTCCCCCTCCCACTCCCTAGGTGACATGTCCATCCTGGGCCTCCTCCAGTGCCACAATGACACCACCCACAAACTGGAGGAGCAGCACCTCATTGTGCGCCTCAGGAGCCTACAGCCTAATGGCCTAAATACGGATTTTACCAGTTTCAAAATCTCCCCACCCGCAGCCTCATCCCATGACCAACCCTCCCTCTCCTTGACCTGACACAACCTGTCCATCTTCTCTCCCACCTCACTGATCAATCACCACCACTCCCTAACTGCACTCACCTGTCACCATCCCACCTACCGTACCCAACAGCACCCCTCCGCTCTCTACTTATTTCTGAGATCCCTTCCCCCCCACCCCCATTTCTGAAGAAGGGTCCCGAACCGAAATGTCAACTTTCCTGCTCCTCTGATGCTGCCTGACCTGCTGTGTTCCTCCAGCTCCACACGGTGTTATATCTGTATACATTATTGGATTAATGCTTCCTTCAGATATGGAGTAAAAAGAAGACTCTCTTTGGCCTACACCAAAATGATATCAAGTGCATCCCATGTCAAAAATGGGTGCACACTGTCATATATGCTGTCTTGGACACAAAATAGCACCTATAGCAGTTA